CTGAATTTCGCTTCTCTCGGACCACTTTTCCATTCTTCACCTCGTGTTGCTCTCACCGACGATGTGACCGAGTACACTGTCCACGCTATCAAGCACATCTTTACCAACCATGTTGTGGTGCAGGTATGACATTTCTAATTGATTTTTTGAGTTTATTTGTTCAAATAACCTCGCTCATTTTTGGCTGCGATTCAATGCAGATTTTTTCACGATCATGAACTTTTAGCTTGATTGCAAGAACACACTCAATGATCAGCTGCTCGAGAATGTGACTGTGGAGCTTGAAGACGGTGAAGGAGAATGGACTACGGAACATGTAATTCCGATTGATAACCTGCCTTATAACGAAACTAAGTCTACTTATGTGCTGATGGAGTTCCCAGAATCAGGTGAATTTTACCTTCCTTTCATTTTCGGTATGTTCGGTATCCTAACCTTACTCCATCTTCAATGGGACACTTCAAAGATTCCATGGTCATCTTGAACGCTATTTTTCTGCTTATGCGTGAAACTTGATTGGTTTCTACTGAGTTTAAAATTTGTCAGAATCCTCAATTTTACTATAATTCATATCTCTCAGCCAAAACTTTACGACCACTTTGACCTTGTTTTCAAGGTTCGGTCACTGGAAACTTCGCTGCAACTCTGAAGTTCAATGTGAAGGATGTTGACCCAACAACGGGTGAAGCTGAATCGGATGATACCTATGAGGATAGCTATGTGGTAAGATTTCCTTATGCTTGTTGTCTATTTGCTTGCTTCATATTTAATACTGAGCGGTTTGTAGAAATTTTTGGTTATCTATGCTTTCGCTCATGGTTGATAAATAGTAATATTTTTTAGCTAGAAGAACTCGAAATTGCCGTGGGTGACCTGGTTGCACCAGTCGTGAAGCAGAATTTCATGGCATCGTGGGAGGCACTCGAAGGAGCAACAACTGTCGACGAAACCTTCCATCTAACGACGGTTAATACATTAGCGGAAGCGATTAAGAAGGTTAGATTGGTCGCTCTTAGTTCACGTTTATTAAGTACGTTCGTTAGGTGAGCTGCATAAATGTTACGGATTAAGGATCAACGAGAAGATTTGGTTAACAATTACGGCCGTGCTTATACTGCTGTGTTGAACGATTCATTTTTAGGTGTCAGAACTTCTCGGAATGGCCCCTTGTGAGCGTAGCGACCGCGTTCCCGAAGGCAAAACGCAACACTCCACAATGCTAGCAGGGGTTTTCCGTGGCGGATTCGAGGTACTGTTCTCAATCGAGCATTTGCTTAGTATGAAAAATTTCTCATCGAATCACTGCAAAGCATCTGAATGTGAATGGAATATTTTTTTCGGAGAAGTCCTTTTGAGTTTCTCAGTCACGTTAGTTAAAGATGTATTTACCATCTTCTGTTTTGAAAGAAATTCATCGTATCATATTAAGGTGCTGGCGCGGTTGAATGTTGCGATGGATCCGGCAGATAAGTCAATCAATATGAACATTCTCGTGCGGTGAGTCTTTCACGGCAATTTCTTCCTCTGCTTCCCGCACTCACCCTATTAATCTTCAATGCTTTTCTATTTCCTGATGTCTTTTGCTGAGTCATTCACAATTGTATACTGGATTAGCTTAGCGCCCGTGCACGCTCCTATTGTTTCTGAGTCTATTTGCTTTTGCGAGGAACATCGACTCACATCTTCAGTCCCATTTATGACTCTGCTTTTGTCCTTCAAAGGTCTTGCAGTTTTTTTCCAAGGCAGTGCAACATTGAATTTCCTACGCTTATTTCGAAGTGCCTGTTGCTGAAATTATTCGGTAATTTGTCTTTGATCGAATTTGTCCTTGAGTCCTTCGTGGAATTTATATATATTTGCGTATTTACTATCACTTATGAAAAGCATACTTCTGGAAAATGAACAGCAGCAGGTGTGTTTTGAAAGTTTTTAGCGAGTACTGGGAGTACTAATCTTCATTTTGATTAAAACTTATTTTTCGCCAAAACAAAGCTGATGCTTCATGAGGGAACCCTCGCGATCATCAAATCGATAGACATGTGCCATCAAACTCAGTTATCTCTCTCATCTTTTATACCAGCTGTTCTGTGAGGGCGTTCATGTGATCGATTGTAATGCGAGATCTGGGTAGATAGAATTTCCTCCCCTTATGATGTGTCAGCAGTTTCGAGAGGTCACCGCGACTATTCATCATCGTTTGGCTAGCATTGCTATAAATGTTGACCCCATCCTTCCTTCTATATAATTCTAATTCAACTTTGGTTTCGTCTCAACTGAAAAGGCTTTATTTTCCTTTTCATTACTGAAACGACGAAATTTTGATTAAATTAACTCGCCATACGAGACTTTAGAGAGCTTCGGAGGCAATTCTTCCACTGCTGGCACCTAACATTTTTATACCGCTGTTATTGCTTTCCTAGAAAATTCTTAATTATTGTGAATTTGGGGGTGATCAAAGTAAAAGAACCATGACGAACAGATTCGTCGTAGCTCTCTTAAGGCTATTCCCAATCTGAGTTTTCTGATTGTGCCAAGAAGTTTATTTGTTGAGTCACTCTTAGGCATACTCCACATTAAGGGGTGACATATTTGTTTGTAATGAAATACTATGAGGTTCTAGAATGTTATTGTAAAAAATTCAAGAATCTTTTGCGGAAGAGTCGCAAATGTATTGCAAAGCAAGCTGCAACCTACTAACAATAGGCCTTTTTGGCGAGCTTCTGGCGACTTACGGCTTCACTAAGCCTGGAAGATATTGAATAAGTTCTATAGGAAGCTTTGTATGTTACTATAAAACTGTTACGGACAACTTCGTTTTAAGGAACTTTTATGTACACATAAAACTGTTAACGGACAACTTCGGCACCATTTCTATTCGTCCAGTGAATTTTGTTGTTTTGATTGAAAGTTGCCGGGAGCCTGGAGAGCTCGCTTTCTCACTTATTATTACTAGAGAATAATAGCGTCTGTGTTATCGGACAACATATCGTTCCAGCGGCTCATACACTTTGCCCTTGAATTTTGTCCTCGGAGAATGAAATTTCTATTTCAGTTGTAAGCAGTCCGACGTGCGGAGTTTGTTGCCAGTGCTATTGCGTGAAATGTGCATACCTAAAATGTTCTAAAATCGCATATTTGTTTGGATTGCTCGTAAGGGTTTGATTGTCGCGCGTTTTACGGTAAATAGTCGTAATATACTGAAATTATCGTTTTTTAATTATCTGTAAGATTCTGTGATGTCGTTATAATTTTATTTAATATAAAAGTTAATACTCATTCCACGAACTTTCGTTAGGGCTTCGGAATGTCTCCACGTTCTTCGACTTCCAAACGAGACCGCCTATTTATTGTAACCCGTTTGTGCCTGAACGAATAAATGTGAATGAAATCAAATCACTTTTTTGTTGTCTTGTATAAATGCGTGTCAGCGTCTCAGTTTCGTTGGTTTATATAATGTTTGTTTCCAGTTGATCTGTTGCTTCAAGTTGATGTTGATTTTATCACTGCTCTGCATAGTTGGTGTGGTCACATCGAGTACGGAATGTATTTGGGCAGTGGGAAAACTTGTATGTCTCAAGAATCAGACTCGAGTGTTGGACTCCGTAGTTGAGGTATGGGACAAGGATGGACCACAAAGCGTGAGTTTCTCGCTTTTTCACTCTGTGTTGTTATTAAGGGCGAATGCGATTTCAGTTTGTCCCTTCCTAGTATTCTGAAGTAGTGGGATTTCGTGAAATGTGATTTTGTTTCACGGCTTCTTGGAAAAGATTTGTTTTAGATCAAGCTAATAGACATATTAGATCCAGACGATAAAGCCGGCTTGACTATGGTGGATGACGAGCGAATGGAATATTCAAAGTAGAAGGTAGAGCATTCTCCTCTAGTCAACTGTATTACAGTATGTATTGTATGGGTTCAGTCTTTACTACTAATTGCAGGCTGTGCTGCAGATTTCGATTGGTTGGGACCGATTTATTTGAATCGGCCAGAGTTTTATTTCAAGATCAAACATAAGTGCAATTCTGACAAGTTAGTTTTTGATTACTAATGAACGACATTTCGAATTCTGCACTTTTATCCTTTCCAGCTTCTAGTTTAATTAATATTTCATTCAATCACTTTTCTCCTTAATTAATTAATTTACAGTAGCGGTCAAAAGTGTTCGACGAAACGCGTTTTCCTGGTTCTCTTTTTTCAGGAAAGAAATCAAATGGGTGCCTCAAAAAAAATTTCTCATTGGACATCGGTTCTTCAAGGCTTGAGTGGCATAGAGGGGCAACTAAAACATAGAATGATCATCTTTGGGAAGGCGTTGCTCAACAGAATAGAAAAGGAATATCGCCTACTAAAACTGTCTTCGGCGAACACTTGACCGCTACTGGTATGAAGTGATTGTCATATAGCGGTGATCATAATCATTTGGGTCTTTCATGCACAGGTATAGAAGAGATCTCGTCTTCCCGCCACGACTAATGAAGTCTGTTGTCAAACACGATGGACTACATACATGATGAACGCCGATAATTCTTTTTGAGATTGAGTCATTCATGATAGTGATGGTGCGATTCACCGCATGTTGGTGGGAGCTTTTAAACAGTAAATCATTATTTGTATGATGCGGTTTAGATTCTGATTTATTTTGCACTATTGTTGCAGTTTCTGTTCTATGTTCCATAACGATTCTGATTTGTTGATCAGGTACATTTATTCATTGATTCTTATCCTCGGAAAAAAGCGATTGTATTCAACTGGTCGCTTTCCTTTTTCTCTTGGAAGGTGCATGCTTGACCGGGGTTCGTTTCTTCCAGATTTGGTCTTCGCTCAAAATCTTTCTCATCGAAAATTTGGGTAAATGAGTTTCCCCTGTTTGTCTGGGTTCTTAGGAAAAGAACTGATCAATTTTAGTGGAGTTTATCTGACGTCAGGGCCGTCGAGACCCTGAATATGTGTCAATTTCGCGGTCTGGCAGATGTACAAATAAAAATTTTGCTCCTCCATCCCCTCCCCCTCTCCCTGCAAATATAGCACGAATATCAATCGGAGAGGAGCAAAAGGCCTTTCCATGACTCACACGACCCCTCCACCTCGCTGCCAATGAGTTCCCACCATGTACCACCCTGAAATCCCCTAAATGCCTTTCCTCTCGCAAGTGGAACGCTAGAGCTAAGGGGCCTCTGCCCCACTTGGTGTATTGGCTGTAATGCAATGAGGAACCTATTCCAGCATCTTGCAACTTTTTAAAGTTATTTGTTCTTGAACAGATGTGAGTCATAGAGCAAGTTTTGCTAGACGAATTCATTTTCCTTATAACTTTACAACGTTGAACTGTTCAACTGAACAATACTCACACTCTGCTCGAGTGGAACTTGTTACGGTATGGGCATCTCTTGACTACCCATTTCGTCTCAGTGCTTTTTCTGATTGACTTTCCGTTACTGATCGATTTTCCACGACAGGGTTTGGTTTGTTTCCGCTATAGCGGACCTCATCGCCAACCTGTTAGTAAGCTAGCTGCTGGATGATTCTGTTTGGGGCGTAACTAGTTTTGTGAATGGATTCATTGTTTAGGAACTCTATAGAACAAAAGAAATTAATATGTTGCTATTACTGCGTTGCTCGTTCTTCCTTGGAGATATACATATACTTCGTTTCAATCTGATTTCTGGCTCCTATGTGGTTTCTTTCTGGGTCCCTATATGATAATACTGTCGTTTTTTTTTCGAAATCATTTCGTTTGGAGGGATCTTTCAATATAAATATTTCCACGGCACTCCAACAATCCACATTTTTGACATATGCGAGGGCAATCCTAAAGAGGAAGTCTTTCCTATAATAATTCAAGATATGCAAACAGCCGTTACCCTCTGTAAGACTGATATAAATTAAAAGGATTGAATTATATTATTTTCTTAAAAATCATGGTTCGGTCGATGCATTTTTGTACCCGCTGCTTCACAATTCTCGTGCCGTTCCAGTTGGCCGACGATATATTTGAAGAAGTGTTGAATCTCATTTTCACACTCTCGTTGGAGCATGACTGCCGTTCAGACAACTGTTGTTTTTTGAATTTCCTGGATTTCGGTACCCCTTAAACAACTTGTGACCGGTTTTGACATTGGTGTACGCCTGTTCCTGGAGTTCCGTCAATTGAATTTCAATCGGCTGAATGTCTTTTGCGTCAAACTCATGTACTGAAATCTGTGCATTAAACTTGCTAGTTTTGTCGAGTGTAGCATTTGACGAAGTTCCGGCTGGGTGGCATTCCAAGTCAAAAATGCAAATCTCAGCTAAGAAGACGCGCTGATTTCTCTGGGGCCACACGGTGCGAGTTCTTTTGATGTAATGGGTAAGGGAATGGGTATTAGTGTACAGTCATCCAAGCGTTCTGCAATTTTTTTAAAGTGAAATATGGATCAGAAAATGAAACGGTGTTATCCATTGAGTTGTGGGTATTATGGGGAATATGCAGCTGTTTTTATCCTTGAACTTCGAGTCAAACATTCAACCATGTTGGAGCTTTCCAGCATCGCGGCTCACTGCCGCTTTCGGCTTACCATGGCATTACGTTGTACATGTGAGCGCTGATAAGTTGTGTTAAAAACACCACTGAAAGGGTTTAGGTGAAGCGGCGCTGTGATGGTGTAATTGGTTCTACAACTGATTAGGTATAGGTTCGTTTCGATCTGCTTAGAGCGATGCTGTGCCTATGCCCACCACTGTTTGTGATAAATTGCAAGGTGACGAACTGCCGCCAAAAATGCTATGTTAATAATGAAAAACAATTTAAAATTGCAATGGACCTTATTTTTGACTTGCCCTAATGGATATGAGTGGTAACCGCATCCCATGAAATTTCTATTGATAGAACCCATACGATGCATGTAGGGTTAACCGATTCCGCGGTACGGCAGAAATCCTTTTGCACGGATCCTGTAGGGACAGGAACAAAATGGTGGGGAATCCTCTCGCTGTGAGAAACTGAACGCATCTCTTTATTAGCACTTTCTTCTTTCGAATATCACTGCTTTGATGACAAACAGGACCTGTTAACTTTATGCAGAAGGACAGAAGGACAGTGCTTTCAATAGCAGAGGTAAACGTCTGCCTTATAACCATCAGTTGCATTCATCGGTGGTTGCTTCCCCGTCTGTTTTTGTGTTGTACACAGCGAAGGAAGCTCCTCCGTGACCGCACGCTGGGCCCATGGTTACGTGGCCGCGATTCCGACTCCAAGGAAATTCTATCAACGTATTCTATGAGGGGTTCAAGGTATCTATTTGATCATCTGTTCCATTATTGTGCATTTAGATTAGGCACCTAAGATCACCGCATTTCTTCTCGAGACGCGCTTTACCTAGGAACGATCGCTGCGTTGCATGCCAAACTGTTTGAACCTTTTCTGAGTCTCCCTTTCAGTTAATTTGTTAAGCGCACTTTCCCATGCAGGGTTAACCATAGCCTTCGGCCGATCAGATTCTTTCTACAATCTCTTCTTCCTTTCAAGGGGTCTCGTTACGCTCATCCTACCAACTCTCGGAGGATTCAATCATGAATACCTCCAACCATCACTGTCGCCATCGTGGCTGTTCCTACAGAATTTGTTCTGAGATTTCGACACAGTCGGAAGCAGTAGATATCCCAATTTTATCCGTCATTTGATGTTGTCAAAGTTTACCAAAAAAAACGTCAATAATAAGCTTTTCCCACTACCACGTCCTTTTGAATTTGCTTAAATAGGCCATTTTTGCCTTTTGGCCTTGGTCAACCCAGATAGGACCCTCTCCAGAAAATTGCAAATGCGAGCCCACGGCCAGATCGACCGGAGGAGGGTTGTACAACTTCGCAACCTTCCTCCGGTCGATCCGGTTGCAAAAGTTTAGCTCCGGCTGGACCCTTTTATTTATATCTTTGCACAGGCTTTACAGTAAACCCTGAACGGCTGCGCTTTGTAAACCTTTAGAGGTCGTAACGATAGGTGTGCCGGCACCCGGCCGGTTTGCTGTCTTGAAGCTGATTCATCACCGCGAAAGAACCGCCTCGTATCCGTATCGGATCGTTATCATTGATCTTCCCCTTCGAAGGGATTATCAAAAAAATTGTTTTCGGATCTCATATCTTGCCGTACTTCTTTCACTTTGAGCAGAAGGAATGAAAACTCCCGAAGTTTTTGGAATTCTTCCGAGAAATTGAAGCCCTAATTCGATTACTTGTTTGTATTGTCTGTTTGGTGGATCCAGTATGTGTATTACATCGTTCCTTCGGAAAAACTCGATTTGCCTGATGAATCACTACTGTATTAACGCGGCCGTAAGGAGATGCAGAGCGTGACGCGCCTATCCGCTCACTAATTCCTTGCGGTCGACGGCCGCATTGGCAGTTATTTTTTTAGTGTTTTTCTCAGAGGAAGTGTTCAAGGCCACGAGTAGAATTAGTGCTAATGCCCTTTCCTTTCCACTGAATCTCACTTTTTCCGCCGTTATCGTCGCAGTTCTTAGAATTCCCTACGAAGTTCAAGGTTATGCCCTGTTTGGGGGGCTTCCATAGCTTTTCGCTGAACTTCCTTTTTGTCGCCATTGTGCGCGTTTATGGGGGTTCATGTCGCTGACGGGGGTCATTGAACCTGTTTGTGACTAAGTGTCGACTGAGAATTATGGCCTGTTTCCAATCCCATCCTTCCGTTTTGATTCCAAAAAAGCTATCATTCATGCTGGTAGGTTAGACGGTCTTGTTTGGCCTTTGTTTTTCATTGCGTAGGTTCCGAAACATACTCAATCGTTTTAATGAATAGCAAGGTCACTAGAGACACGTGGCTCCTTATTTGGGTCATTTTTCCTTCTCATTCAAGCCACCGATACATGGCTTGATCAGGTGATCATTTCTAACACTACTTTATTCACTGGTGACCAAAAAACCAATTAAATGTCATCTGCGATATGGAAGGTCGAGTTAGAATACCATGTCGCAATGCCGAAAAGTGATCAATCGCTGATCGTTTTACTGTTTGTGTTTGCACC